AGGAATATATTAAAGGGTTGCTGCATTAGGAGGCATTAGGAAGGCTGAGAACCACTGCTCTAAATGAAAGCCACCTTGTAGAAGTGAATTTGAAGTACCCCAGGGTTTTTACATTGAAAGGTGCATCGTGTCTCTGGAATGTGAATGCTCCTGCCCACTGCTGTGACAATATGAAGTGCTCACATATGTTATCAACAGATGCCTCGACCAGCCATGCTTTGACTTTGGAATAGGTCTTGCAGAAATGCTTCAAAACTGAATCAGGCAGGTTCTTAAGGATAAACAATTTCAGCTTTGAAACAATGTAATTTCAGGATGAAGGTCAACCTGTTCTGATCCGCTTAGGAGAAAAGGTTTATGTTTCACCATTTACTCAGTAAGAATGTGACTAAATCTCCTTTTTTCAAACAGGCATCATGAATGGATTAAAATCCATCCATACTATAGAACACTAGGTAAATTGTTTAAAAAACAAGATAGATCTATATGAACTATTATGGAGAAATCCATTTATATCATTTAGTTGAATACCACAAAGTAATACATTTATTTAAATCCAAATGCGTGTGTACGTGTATACGTGTGTGTATATTGTATATGTATATAAAACCATATGTGGGTAAGCACGTGTTTATATGTACAAAAGTATTGGGAAAGTCTCCAGACTTTTCCAGGGTTATACACTGAATTATTAATACTAACTGCCTCCTCAGAGGGAAGGAGGCCTAAAAAGGAGTAGCAGTGTTTGGATTTGAACAGAAGAGATATATTCGTGTATTAACTTGTATGGTTTAGAAATTTTTGAAGAGGCCCCTCATACTCTGGGAGGCCAAGTTGGGCAGATTGCCTGGGCTCAGGAGTTAGAAACCAGCCTGAGCAAGAGTTATCCGCCTCAGGTTAAAAATAACCTGGCACTGTGGTGGGTACCAATAGTCCTAGCTGCTTGGGAGGCTGAGGCAAGAGGATCGCTTGAGCCCAAGAGTTTAAGGTTACTGTGAGCT